ACATTCAAATGACAAAATATTTCCACAATCAACTATCCACTATCTAAAGAATCAATTCTGAAAATATTGTGCAAAGGCTTATAAGCACTTTAAGATAATGGCCAGTCAGCTGTCAGTCATGATAATTGGCAAAGGTGGTCTTAGCTCAGCCATACTGGTCAATATGGCCTAACCCCTGCGAAATGAATTCCCAACTTTCTGGGAATTCCTAGGAATTCTTAAGAATTCTTAGGAATTCCCAACAATTCTCAAATATGCAAATTAAATTTTAACACTTTAGATCTTTGATGTTAGAATTCCTGAGAATTCCTAGGAATCACACCTTCAATCACTGAGAAAAGCTTGGAATTTTTGAGAATCTTATCATTCTACCAAAGTCATCTGAGAAGTCTTGAGAATTTTTAGGAATCAAAATGTTAGTTTGGCAATCAGAGTTTACAGTAAATATTGTATGAAATATCTAGTTAACTACCATATTCTTAAAACAAATGCATAATTTATCTAACCTTGAGAAATTCATCGATTCCTCAAGGTTAGATAATACTACACTTCTAACCTTGAGGAATCGATGAATACGTTTATACTACATCTCCAACATGTTTTTAATACTTCTTTAAACATCCTAAATTATACCTTTCAATAAATCATATCGATGAAAGTAACGAGRTTTACGTTGATAGACGCCATGTTGGCATGACTAACCGAGCCGGACTGGTGTAGAGTTTTGACCATATTTGGATACGGTTTGCCATATTTGGATATCCTTGCTTGCTCCGATTGGCTGATTCAACAGTTCGAATTTAGGCGGACTCTTCATTCAGTTATTGTAATCGTTCTTTGTGTTAAGCATGGATGGTTCATGGGGAATTGTGCTTCTAAATAGCCTGAAATCCCCTGAGAAAAACGGAGAACAACGAACTAATATGTGATACTTCATAACCTGAGGGTAATCTGGTATAGATCAACGAATTTCCAAGAGATTTCGCTGAGGTAAGCGATCAAAATGTCCTCTGTTACAAACCGATTTTTACAACATTGAAGTGTGACAATCTAGGAGGCTATATTTAGGTCAAAATCATAGCATTTTCTTAAATCTACTATTCATGGAAGGTTGTATTGAGATATGGAACCTGTTTCTTTTATATAATGTAACTAATTTACCCTTCGAATTTGTAGGTCTAACCTCCTGAAAACCTAACCTAACTGATGATGAAGTGCTGTACTTATAAATTATTAGCACGAGATGTCAATATTGCCTTGTAAATTTGGTGTAATTAAAGCTTATTTATAAATTTCTTATAGTTAAAAACTACCTGTATTAGATCAACTAATTCAGATATCTAAATTAAGTAGTTTACATCACATGCACAGTATTTTCAGATCTAAAATTAATATATTTTCACATTCTTTTGCATGTGAAATAAATTTGTATTAAAACATGTAAATTTGTATTTCACATGTTTTACTATGTCTAATATATAGAGATTATCACATGTTAAGAACTTGATATCGTTTTTATTCACGAGTTTTTCCAAGCGAGTGAGCGATATGATACGGAAAAACGAGTGAATAAGAACGATATCAAGTTCTTAACATGTAATAATTTGTTTATTACACATTTAAGGTCGATAAAATGAAAAACATTCCAGTTCCCAGTTTACTGTGAAGTGATATCGTATCACTTCACTGATATGGTTTTTATTCATGGCTTTATTACACGGATATTGACCCTAAATGTGTAATAAAAACTTGCATTCTTATTTTTATCCTCGAAATATATTTTTCATATGAATTTTCTGGTTCCTTGTTCTTCTCTTTTAATCAATATTCACAACAACACCCAGCTAGCCCTAAATATTCCTAGAAATTCTCACGAATTCTCAAATATACCTACCAATTCCTAAGAAATCCAAGCTAAGAACCATGAACTACATTGTTTCTAAAAATTCCTAGGAATTCCTGAGAATTCCTAGGAATTGTCTGGTCTATTTTCCTTTTGAATTTTAATTAAGAATTTCTAGGAATTCCTAGGAATTCTTGTTCGAATTACCGTGAAAATTTACACCTTAATTCCTAGGAATTCTTAGGAATTCCTAAGAATTCTTAGGCCATTATTCCTAGGAATTCCTAGGAAATTCCTAGGAATTCCTAAGAATTTCCAGCTTCATTTCACAGGGCTGAGTAATGCAAAGATTTGAGTGAACAAATTCCAATTCTGGCCAAATATTGTCTGATTACTGCTCTTATTTTCTGTATTTTAAGTAGTACAATTTCATTTCAGGTACACAAGCCAGGAGATTGAGAAGAAGAAAGATCTGGGTGTTGTTAAACAAGGATCAATGCCACTTCCTATAACCATACCATCATCAGAGGTTCCGCCACCATCAGGTGTTCCATTGCCATCAGGTGTTCCATTGTCATCCGCTGTTCCATTGCCATCACCTGTTCCGTTGCCATCAGCTCTTCCATTGCCATCAGCTGTTCCTCAATTATATCTTTTAGTTCCTATTCCATCTCAATTAATTCCTGAAAACACCTCAGGAATGGGAAATTTCACTCAACCTTCTTATAGTCCACCACCTCTTTCAATTGCAACTAAACATGAAATTCCAATCCTGCTGAAGCCCATGTCAATTCAGGTCACAGCCACCACAACAGTGCAAGTGGGTGTGTCAGGCTTATCTGAAAAAACAGCAATTAGAGATAAAAGATATTACTACCAAAAACAAAAAAGGAAAAAAGAAGCATCCAGTGTTACATTTAGAAAATATGTGCGCACTGATAAACCAATTGTCTGTGGTCAATGTAAACAGCCAAGAGACCCTGCATCACACAGGCAGTACTTTGGGAACTGGCATTGTGCAGCGTCTCAAACGAAAAGTTATGAACAGTGGAGGGATGAACTCAAAAAAACAAAAAAATACTGTAAGAAAAAGAAAGATTAAAAAAATGAAAAGAAGAAAAACAAGGGAGAAAAACAGCAACAACCATAAAACCTGCTTGTTGTGAGTGCTGGCCACCTTAACATTTGGAGGACCCCTTGGTCGAGGAAATGTCTGCTGGTCTTGCATACAACTCTTCTTGAACATGTCTTTTATCCAGGAGACCAGTCAATACTGCCTCTTATGGTAAAAAAAGTGGAAATTCCCACTGTTATACTGTTTTATGTTAACTTAGGGAACATGAACTTATTATAAAAAGTATGATGTAATGTCCTGCTCACCAACAACTTGTTTCCATCCAAYGCCGAGTGCTGGGCGGCGGTTAATTAGCCTGGCCACCTTAGCTTGACAGGCTGAGGAGGGTTGTGGACCCCTTGATGGAGGAAATGCCATCACAAAGCTGTTTTCTTTCAGCATCCACTTCTTTTTGTTAACAAACTTTTAATGCTGCCTAGCATGCTTGCTAGAAGGTCCCAAGCCCTTGAAAATGCAGAGGGAAAGTTTGCATTTTTTATTCTTCTTGTAATATAACCTTTAACGAAGTTTATAATTGGCCACTTTAGAAACGAGCAAGAGACTGGGTAGTGTTTTGAATTTCACTGGGGTTTTCGATACTCTTGAAAAATAATCAGTCTGTACCGTTATGCTCTTAACTGGTAGCAGTGAAAAACCAATTTCACAACTAGCCATTGGAATGGACTTTGCAGAATATGGAAAACCACAGTCATCTTATAGGGGGAAGGTCTAGGGGGAACAAATTTTGTGATTAAAGAAATCATCCTAAGATTAATAAGTCTGGCAAGTTTGAACATAATTAAAAAAACCCAGAATTATTGGCTGTCAAAAGTTTGAAAATTTACAAAGAATGTATGGTTACGGAGGGCAGGCGCTATTGGCCCCCCGCTTTTTTTTATTTTCCCATAGTAATCTCCCTTATATTGTCCAATCTTAGAACCCCCACTTTTTAGATTGTTCAGCAGCCCCTGTGTTACCATACATTCTTTGTAAACTTTTCACACTTTTGAAGGCTTGCAACTGTGGTTCTTTTTAATGAAAGGCATTCAAATTTCACAGATTTACTTATATTGAGATGCGTTAGAGCGGATGCAATTAAACCGTGAAATAAAATCAAACTGAATGCTAACTAATAGTATACAATTTAGTGCCTAATAGTTGCTATCACTCAGCCAGAACATTCATCATACAAAGACAAATACACAAGAGACCATTTGTGTCATTCGTTTAATAAATGTTCTGGTTGAGTGATAGCAATTATTAGTCGCTAAACAGATACTATTAGTTAGCATTAATGATTTTATTTCACGGTTTAATTGCATCCGCTTTATCAGATGGCAAAACTCTTTTGCTAATTAGATTAAAATTCAAAACTAGAACCTGAATATATTGCAGTTTTTCTGTTGACATAATTTAATTTTCGGTGGTTGGGCTACCTGTGGTGCGCAAAGCGTTCCTCAGTTCCTTTTTTATGTACTGTGCGATTAGCTGTTCCGAAGTTGAAGATAAAAAAAAAAGTCCCAGTCCATGTCGTGCCCAGTATTCTTGTGATGTTCAGCCACAGGCAACCCAAGCTCGCTGCATTTATAAGAGAATGTATGGGGATTTAGAATATGCCGTATTTTATTTGGAAAAACGTGAATAAAAGTGTGTCAACTTACCTGTTGTGTCAATTTGTTTATTTTGAACTCCTGCATGCAGTTTCAGCTAGTTTTGAAGGGTATTTAAAGAAACAAATTCCAACACATAAATAATGACACATATCAAACAATTGTTGTCATTCGCGGGCTTCCTGTGGTGACAAACCACGCTCCCCTCCCCTACACAATTTCCAGTCTTTTTTCGGCCAAAACCAAGATGCTTGACTAGTTAGTGATGATTTCACTCGATTTACTGTAAATTTGAGCAGTTTTGAGCAAGAAATTCGCCTATTTAGTGAAGAAAATTATATTCCAATTTCCTAATATGGTAAGTACATTCCATATATGGTAAAAGAAACAGCTCGAGCGGAACGACAACTTTTCTATGTGGAAAGTTTGATATGATTATTTTTAATTATTTCTGCTTTGCTTGTTGAGGTGATTATGAAAAGCGTCAATGTCGAACTGAACCAGAGGTATAAATACCATTTGACTGTCTCTCGTTTTCTCCCTGGACTCTGAAGATAACTTCCGCTCAGGTGTCGAAACTTCAATAACCCCCAACAACAGTCTTTCTCAAGACTAAACACACTCGGATGATCACATTTCTTAACAAACTTAAACACCTGGGTTCAAACCACTTACTCTTAATAGATTCCATGTTGGAAATATATCCCCTAAAACAGTCCCACAATGCACTGTAATGCCAACTAGACCCAGGTTTTTCCTCCACCTTGGAATGGTTAATAGAAAAGATAGCGCTAGTTCGTTTGAGTCATTCAGTTATTTCTAACGAGAAATGTCATTTGACATCATTACTACCTCTAGCTAAGCATGCAATTATTGGATGACTGAGCAAAATATTGTGATTTTTTAGTGGTGAGTGCGCAATCATTTGTCCCTGCTGAATGCAATAATTTCAAATTAACGAGACCCACAGTGCACTTAGGTCTTGGAATGCACTATTCGGTATGCAGTATTCAACCTTTTTTGAAATAGCTGCTATACAACACAATTATTGTAGTTCTACTCAAACCGTGAAACTCGAGTTTGTCAACCAATGAGATTGCGAATCAAAAGCAATAGAATTCCAGTTCCATGTTTTTAAAGTGTAAAAAAGCTATTCAAGGAGATGAAAAAGAAAGAAAAAGATAAGTATATTTACACAAATAGAGTGCACGCACTAGAGTGATTTTCATATGATCGTGAAAGAATAGGCAAACTAATAGTTAGTAGTAGACTCTAAACCAATGATTTTCTTTTGTTCTTTATCAACTATTACAAACTAAATGGTCTATTTTCTTTCACGGTCATATGAAAATCACTCTAAACCCGTGAAACATATTTAGTACTAATTAGTAGTAATTCATACAGAATCCTTTGTTTTCTATTGTTTGATTATCACTATTTAGTACTAAAAATTAGTATTTGTTTCACGGGTTTAGTGCCAGCACTCTAATGGATAAAATAAAATAAACTCGAGTGTTCACAGTTAGAGTAGAACGACAGTAACAGTAATGTGTAAGGATCGACTTTCATTCAACCTTATTGAATGCTTTTATATCTTTTCTATTTATGTTATTATTAGTATCCTACCTTGTCTAGAATATAGTAGTGGTTTTCCTCAGACTGTGAAATAATAATTAGTAGACTTAGTCTGATAGAGTACAAACACTATAAGATTGTAACATAAATACCACTAAATTATGCTAAATCTATTGTTTTCCATTGTTTAATTAGCACTATTTACTACTAAATAGTGTAAACTGTTGCACACTTTTAGTGTTTGTACTCTATAGTTAGTAGATAGGTAGATTGGTTTTATGCCCCGTCCACACGTATCCGGAAATTTTTGTATCCGCATACGAAAATGTTCGCGTCCACACGCAGTGTATTCTAATCGTTTTCGAATCGTTTTCAGTGTCCACGTATCCGGAAATTTCATGATCCGCCCTATTGCACGCTAGTGCCTAGTCCCTTTGAGGGATAGTTTTTTTTATTGAGCATGCGCAAAATCGTGTTACATCATCGTATTCGAAAATTTGCGGATACGACCGTCCACCCGTATCCGTATTCGGAGCGTATTCGAAAATTTCCACTCTGGAGACCGTTTTCGAAAATTTCCGGATACGAATACAAAAATTTCCGGACACGTGTGAACGCGACCCGTATCCGCAAAAAAAATTTCCGGATACGTGTGGACGGGGCATTAATAAACCGGTGAAATACACTTTATCATAATAAGCACTACTTTCATTACACAAACACAAATACACAAGAGACCATTTGTGTCTTTTGTGTAATGATTAGCAACTATTAGTCACTAAATAGTAATATTTCTCACTTTGTTTTTATTTCATGGTTCTACTCCATGTACTCTATTTCCATTGTTTTCTTTTGTGTCTATTTGACTATTATACTCAGAAACTCTTTCACTGTCTGAGAGAAATCACTCTAAACATCAAGGTAAAAAGCCATGCCAATAATTATTTGGTCTTCACCCTAGATCTTTGGAGCATACATTTATTTTTGTTACGCCTGCGTTTTCAGTCAAATTACCGGTCCCGCGCCATAACCAAATGCCAACCACTACATGTATGCTACCATCTCAAATGAAGGGAGGGTGTCAGAATCTTGAGATGGTACAACGCTTCGGGAAAGTACGTTTTTATTGGGAGGGTGGGGGCAGGGGTTTCACTCCCCCTAAGATGGGAGTGTTATTACTAAAAATTTGAATGAACTACATGGAGGCCACTATTTCAAAGGATTCGGACTTTTGTTTTAAAACTTTTTTATTTTGACGAAAGCCAGTTCCTTATTGACTTAATATAGGAGGGCCATGAGTGAAAGGCAAAGGGCTACAAACATTTAAAAAAATTAACAGAATCCCCCAGCCTCCCTCCCCCAATACATTCCCTTGGCAGTATATTAAAGGCCTAGTCGTACAGTGCAACAAGGTAATGAGGGACACCGACCTGTTGACACTTTCATAATGGTAAGTAATATACATAAAAGAAATAGGCCATTTCAAGGATCCGTAATTATTCTTTAGAATTTGACTACAGTCCGCAGTAATGAAAGGAATTTACACATCAACGAACAATTGAAACATGCTTAAAAATTTCACAGGTTGTAGGCAATTTCTAAAGAATATATTACAAGCTGACGAGGCTGAGGTTGAGTAACGGGATCCGTGAAATGGCCTATTGTCATATATAGTGAAAATTAATTTTTATGGTGCTTTTTTTTTCTCGATTAAGTTTCTGAAACACTTTAAACTGACTGAAAGAACGGGGAATCTTATTAGATATCCCCCTATGGCTTTGCAAAACATTAGGAGACCACCCTCTTTTCCCGCTACTACGCTATTCCGACAGTCGTTCCCTCTTCCATGCTTTAACGCAGACTCCACCTGAACAACCTTAGCCACCTAACACTCCAGCTTCCACCATGTGTTACAGGCAAAGCGTGCCCGACTGGGGTGCTGAGGAAAGGAAAAACAGTACACGGTCGTTTTTAATGCAAGAGGACATCATTTACGAGGCCTGGGGCCACGCAGAAAGCTAACCAGGCATCTCCAGCACTATGGCCAAAGGTGGTGCCAGAAAAAGGTCGAATTTCATAAGAGGAATTGGTTGCAGAACTGAGTGCTAAGGGTAAGGTAGTGTTAGTGTTAGGTCGCTTAACGCAAATAGGGCACCTTTTGCAAGGCCGCAGTGTGGATGACGCAGGGAGCTCACCATGCATT